AAAAAAAACAAAAAAAACTCCAGGATTGGAGACCAATTAAGTTTAAAATTTTATCTTATTTCTCACAGTCATCATCCACGCCCATTCTTGGGGAATGGTCTAGCTTACTTTATCATTGCTGAGGAAAATGTGGAACCAAAAAGTAACCTCTTTCTGTGCCTGTCATTTCTGTGGAGGAATTTTTTTTTTTTTTTGAGACAGAGTCTCACTTTATCACCCTCGGTAGAGTACCATGATGTCACAGCTCACGGCAACCTCCAACTCCTGGGCTTAGGTGATTCTCTAGTCTCAGCCTCCTGAGTAGCTGGGACTACAGGCACCCACCATAATGTCTGGCAATTTTTTTGTTGCAGTTTGGCCGAGGCTGGGTTTGAACCCGCCACCTTCGGTATATGGGGCCCGCACCCTTCTCACTGAACCACAGGTGCCGCCCTACTGAAATCCTTTAATTGGAAGTATTTAGGTATCATAATAAAGTGATGAAACATTAGGCAGTTAGGAAAAGACTTTTGGGTTAGGCAGACTGTATTATTGACAGGCCAGCCTGCCTTGAGTATCCTCTTTTGTAGTTTTTTAAAAACAGAGTCTTAATCCTGTTGTGTAGGCTGGAATTCTGTGGTACCATCATAGCTCACTGCAGCCTCAAACTCCTGGGCTCAAGTGATCCTCCTGCCTTAGCCTACTTTTTTTTTCTTTGAGACAGAGTCTCACTTTGTTGCCCCCAGTAAAGTGCTATGGCATCATAGCTCACAGCAACCTCAGACTCCTAGGCTCAAGTAATTCTCTTTGCCTCAGCCTCCTGAGTAGCTGGGATTATAGGCGCCTTCCAGAACACTCAGCTTTTTTTTTTTTTAGAGGCAGGGTCTCACTCTAGCTCAGGATGGTCTGAAGTGAACTTAGGCAATCTGCTCTCTTCGGCCTCCCAGAGTGCTAGGATTACAGGTGTGAGCCCTCGCACCTGGTCTTAGCCTCTCGAGTACCTGGGATTATAGGTGTTTGTCACAATGCTCAGCTCATCTATGTTTTTGTAGAGACGGGGTCTTGGTTTTGCTCAGACTGGTCTCGAACTCCTGACCTCAGTTGATCTTATCACCTTAGCCTCAGAGAGTGCTAGGATTATAGATATGAACCAGCATACCTGGCCACAGTATTTTTTATTTTACTTCAGAACCCACAGATTCTCTAAATGGTTCCATGGAAGTGACATTGGACTTCTGATAGATAGAAGTTGGTGGAAGGAGTTTGCAGTGGTCATTTTAAGTTGAATTTTCTTAGAATAAATAAATTTGAAAATGATGAGTGAAAGTAGCCAGGGTTGGTTGCTGTTAATGCAGAAGTAAGTTTCACTCTACGATCAGCATATTTGTTGTGTGGTTTTTTTTTTTTTGAGACAGAGTCTCACTTTATTGTCCTTGGTAGAGTGCTGTAGCGTCACTGCTCACAGTAATAACTTTCAACTCCTGGGCTTAGGTGATTCTCTTGCCTCAGCCTCCTGAGTAGCTGGGACTGCAGGTGCCCACCACAACGCCCAGATGTTTTTTTTTTGTTGCAGTTTGGCCGGGGCTAGGTTTGAAATAGCCACCCTCAGTATATGGGGACAGTGCCCTACCCACTGAGCCACAAGTGCCATCCCCCGCCCCCCCCCTTTTTTTTTTTTTTGAGAGAGTATCACTATGTCACCCTGGGTAGAGTGCTATGGCGTCACAGCTCACAGCAACCTCAAACTCAGGCTTATGTGATTCTCTTGTCTCAGCCTCTCTAGTAGCTGAGACTACAAGTACCCGCCACAGTGCCTGGCTATTTTTTGTTGCAGTTGCCATTGTTGTTTAGCTGGCCTGTGCAGGTTCAAACCCACCAACTTTGATGTATGTGGCCGGCACCATAACTGCTGTGCTATGGGCGCCAAGCCTTGTTGTGCTTTTTATGGCGCTTAAGTGTGTTCTGAGTGCTTGGAGAGAAATGAGCCACAGTCATATAAACTTGGCTATTTAAGTCTCTGAAAATAAAAAGATAGGTAGATACCCTAAGAAGCTAGTTTTAGGGTTCATTGTCAGGCAGATGTTAACGGCCAGTGGCTGCTTGTTCTAGCACAGGGATATGTCAGTTCTTAACCTTTGTCTCCTGATGAATCCTAAAACTAGCTTCTCAGGGTATCGAATAAACTAAAATGGTAGGCACTGAAGTACTCAGTGTCCTCAAACTACAGCCCGTGGGCCACATGTGGCCCACTGAGAACATTTATCCAGCCTGCTGGGTGTTTTTGCTGTCGCTTCCTGTCCTGCTTAGCAGCCGACTCGTCCCGGGGCCTGTAGTCCAGCCCTCCACTGGTCTGAGGGACAGTGAACTGGCCCCCTGTTTAAAAAGTTTGAAGACCCCTGGTATAACTGGAGATAATGTAAGAATGTTAGGGAAACACTGAAATGAAACTTCAGATTTGCTTATCGAATGTGTGCTATTTTTGCCTTGAGAGTTTGTATTTAGGGCGGTGTCTATGGCTCAGTGGGTAGGGCACTGGCCCCATATACTGAGGGTGGTGGGTTCAAACCTGGCCCCAGCCAAAATGCAATAAAAAAATAGCCGAGTGTTGTGGCAGGCACCGGTAGTCCCAACTACTTGGGAGGCTGAGGCAAGAGAATTGCCTAAGCCCAAAAGTTGGAGGTTGCTGTGAGCTGTGATGGCACAGCACTCTACCAAGGGCAATAAAGTGAGACTCTGTCTTGGGGAAAAAAAAAAAGAGTTCATATTTAATTATCTAACTTAAGATTGATTTTGGGAAATTGAATCTTTACTTCAAAAAGTTGCATTTGTGTTTTTGTTTTGAGATTTCATTTTTTAAAGTGTTTTCTGATGGTGAGAACGTAAATTTGAACATACTACAATTTGAGAGCTTTTGGTTCATCTTAACTTGAGAACATACAAAGTGGTACTGGCTTACAAAAAGTGAGATTTGATCCAATTCAGTCAATTTTGAAAGTTTCTAAGATAGAAGAGGTAAGGGTAGAGAGTATGACCCCATGATATATCTTATTCCTATACTCACTTCAGGGTGAGAAGGCTGAAGGAATGTCTAAAACTTAACAGAATGACAGATATTTGGTGTCTTGTCCAGAAAAGTGAAGGGACTGATTTGTCTGATACCACTGTCCAAATCAGGCAAAGATACAGCTTTATACATTATGACCCAGGCACCTACTTAGAGCTGCCTATATGTAGACCCATGCCTGGAGGAATGGTATAGAGGTTAGATGAGAGCAGAGCGATATAAAATGGGAGAGGCAAATAAGGCCCAAATGATGTTTTTTTGTTTGTTTGTTTTTTTGAGACAGAGTTTCACTGTGTTGCCCTTGGTAGAGTGCTGTGCACAGCAACCTCAGACTCTTGGGCTTATGCGATTCTCTTGACTCAGCCTCCCAAGTAGCTGAGACTACAGGTGGCCTGCCACATTTCTGGCTATTTGTTTTTTTTTGCATTTGTCGTTGTTTAGCTGGCCTGGGCCAGTTTTGAACCTGGGAGCCTGGGTGTATGTGTCTGGCGCCCTACCCACTGAGCTACGGGCACTGCCTTTTTTTTTTTTTGAGACAAGAGTCTTACTTTGTTGCCCCTGGTAGAGTGCAATGGCGCCATAGCTCACAGCAACCTCAGACTCTTGGGCTTAAGTGATTCTCTTGCTTAGCCTCCTGAGTAACAGGAACTATAGGTGCCCACACAATGCCCAGCTGTTTTTAGAGATGGGGGTCTCGCTCTTGCTCAGGTTCTTGCTCTTGCTCAGGCTGATCTCGAACTCCAGAGCTCAAGCAATCCATCTGCTTCAGCTTCCCAGAGTGCTAGAATTACAGTTGTGAACCACTGCGCCTGGCCTTGGGCCCGAATCTTGTATGAGCTTTAGATTTATCCAGTCATGGCTGAGCATGATGGCTCAAGCTGAGGTTTGCTTGAGGCCAGGAGTTCAAGACCACCCTGACCAAGAGCAAGACCCCATCTCTACTAAAAAAAAAAAAAAAAAAAAAAAAAAAAAAAAAAAAAAAGGAGAAAAATTAAGGCCAGGTACAGTGGCTCAGTGTCTGTAA